TGTCAGCGCTGTAAAGTGCAACAACAGGCTCCGATAGGCCAGATGGGACCTCGAGCAATTGAAAAAGCATGGTCGAGAATATCGGCGGATATCATGGGCCCTTTACGCGTAGTAAAGCGGGACACCAATATATCCTAGTCATCCAAGACTTCTTTACGAAGTTGATAGAAGTTCGACCATTGCGAAAAACAACTGCTGCGACGATACGGAAAGCATTCAAGGAAACCATCATTTATCGATGGGGAGCTCCAAGAGGATTGCTGACCGATAATGGAACCGAGTTTATAAATAAGGACTTGAAGAATTTCGCTACTTCAACCAACATGAAGCACTGAACAACACCACCGTATCACCCGCAGGCGAAGCCCACTGAAAGAGTGAATCGATCAATAAAAGCTATGATATGATCGTACGTAGATCAGGATCACCGTGATTGCAACTCTCATTTGGATACATTTCGTTTTGCATACAATGCAGCTCAACACAGCTCCCTGAAAGCAACCCCGGCTTTCGTAAATCTCGGGTGAGAGCCCGAGCCACCGAATTCACTGAGACGAAAGTTGGAGGGAGATGTTGAAGTTGAAGAAACTCCGACAGAAGCCTGGGTCGAGCGCACAAAGCGCCATGATACCCTCAGATTGGCCTTTAGGCATGCATTAGCCGAAGCTAATGATCGACAAGCACAAAGTTATTACTTGCGCCGGAGGAAGGGCGAATTCGAGGTCGGCGAACTAGTCCTAGCATCGTTCAGCGTCCTTGAACAAACCGTTCAACGGACCTTTCGTGGTGACTAAGAAACACTCCAGAAACTTTTACCAAGTTTCTGATATGACGGGTCGTAATACCAAAGACTGCGCTATAGTGAACATGAAGCCCTATAGGGAAGCTTTGCAAGATCCCCCGACGGAAAAATCGGAAGGCGAAGAGTAGTTACTCCTGGAGGGTTTTGACTTTAAAGTGTAGGTTCCGGGGCGAAACCTCTCTTGAGGAGGGAGGTGTGTAACGAGATTTTCTCGTTACGGGTTGAAATCCCCTTAAATAGTTAACTGAGCTCTTTAAATTATAATAAGAGGGACAGGAAGAGACATCTAGAAGCGGCTGACAGAGCCGCGACTGGATGAGAAGAGCCACAGACCGATGAAAGGCTGAACGCATAGCGGTTTGGGTGGAACCGCGACCTCTAAAAATCTAGAGGACGTACTACACTTTCGCTATTTTACAACTCGCCCAGTTATGTTTGGGGGAAAGTGGCTCGACGTACAGGGGCTCCAACTAGGCGACTCTAAAGGCTGTGTCGGAGTAGACTGGGGACCAAAGTAGCCAGGTGAAAGGACTGGTACCTCCGTAATTCCGTCGGGTTGATTGGTGGGGATAGGGTAACGGAATGATCTATCGTCGTCGAGATATCCAGAGTAGGAGGCAAGGCCCTAGTGAGACTCCGAGTTAGTCGAACGCGGACGCTCAAGCGGGGATGTCGGAAGGATTTCTCCAGAGTATATTGTAGTGTTGGATTGAAATATCGCCAAGGACTGATGGGCGAATAGCTCAGCGTTGCCAGGTGCATAACTGATGGTAGCGAACGTAGGGGGATGCTTCTGCATTCCCCGCAATCGAAAAAAAGAGTTATTTCGGAACTCTCAGTGACAACTTTGTTGTTTCCGGCGTTATCTAGTCTCGACGGAACGATTTCAGGCGTATGGGCCCGTAGATCTGGAGTAGAGTAATCCTCCTGTCGGCCCGACCATACGTCGACATTTTTAGTACTACCCGGAGACAGTGATGCGTGATCACCGAAGCGGTAACTGGTGGTTGAGAGTGTGGCTGGTCGTAAGGTGGGTAACGTAGTTCCACCCTGGTCAGATCAGCTTCTCAACGTCCTAGGCTCTGAGGAGTCCCGACTGATTCGCAAAGAATCCTGGAACTCTGCCGAGTAGAAATATTTGAGAGAAGCACGCCTCCTGGAGGAGTCGAAAGATACACCAGAGTAGATGTGAATAAAATCACATAATTAGGCTGCAAGGCCTAATACACGGCTTGCAAAGGCTCGTGACGATGTGATGGGAATACTCCTGGTCGACCTCGCCCACTCTACCGTGTCACACTGATGCTCGCTGGGCAACCTGTTGTCCAGCCACAAAAGTCCTCTGAGTGGACGAGTTTGCCTCAGAGGTCGGTTTTCGTTGAACTTTCCGTAAAGATTCGGCTGACGTCCAACATACGAGCGATAGAGACGACTAAAAAGTAGTTTGGATTTTTTCCCTGGGTGAACAACCCGGGAAAATATCCTTACACATTTTACATAATCTCGTCTTGACTTATTTATTTCAATATCCGATAATCATTCTAGCACTAAAAATTCAAGAATAATGCAAGTGAATAAATAATAAATGTAGCTCTTTCATACAGCTGAAGATACAGGTATTCATACCTCATAAAATAATCATCTAATAATTTTTATAATAATTTGTAGCATCTTTGACTCTTACAATTATGCATGGGTATGGTAGACTATTTTTAGCATTGAATGTTGCATGTATTGTACCATGATAAAAATCATGTACTGTTCCTCGCCTGAACTGATCGGGGATCATGGGGGGAAAATTAGTATCTTACCCCAGCGAGGAGTCGGATCACCCAGGGCCACAATTGTCATTTTATTTCTTTTATTTACCTTCTTTTCATCATTCTCTCAAACTCTGTCGATCGCGCTCACCGTGAGTTACGTGAGCTTCGTGACGAGGGGAGTGGAGCGGACCATCGGGAATGGCTACAAGACAGCTCTATAGCTGAGGAGCAACACACCGACGAGCACGCACACACCGAGTCTAGGAACTCACATCACGAAGGATGCGAAAGACGATCGTCGCACGCCAGCAGGCATCTCAGGCCTCTACGTGCAAACCCCCACCAGCTCACTGATGGATCGGTGGCACAAGGCCGCCCAGTAAAAAACCGATGCTACAACATTGAGGGAGCATCGGATTATGTTGGCTTCTGCACCGCTCAATGCGCATCACATCCACCGACCGCGAGGCGCAAGTCTCAGTTGCTGGGACTAAGAAATTGGGAATTAGAACCATTTTAAAAATGCTAAAGTCAAAATTGTCGAATCACCTGGATTCTTCGCGCTTCATCACGTGATCGGGTGGGGGCAGGAGAGATTGAGAGGTTCCTCGGGGCGATGTACGGCCCCGACGAACACTTTTCGCTGGGATTTGTTCAGCTAAAGTCGCTCTGTGCATTTCAAGTTTCTTTCGCTCTTCGAGCTTATTTGCCTAAATGGAAAAAATTAAAGTACTTTGTGGTGTTGTGCCCAAATTTTCCGGCCTTCTTTTCCGACGTCGCCGTACTGAGGGTCCAGACGAGTCTGCCTGGTGTTTCTCGCGGAATCACGGTGAGGGTCGAAATTTTTTTGTGAGTGTACGCGTACTTCTCGTAGGGAATCCACTCCGGCGCCCATTTTGGGGGCCGTTTGAGAATGTACTCGAGTCTGCTTGTGACGCGGCACTCTGTAGCCTTAAGCTACCTCATGAGTTAATTTTTATTAGGATTATTACTACTTGATTACTATCACTATTTTTTTTGTGTGTGGGGAAAAACTGGTCCTAACTCATTTAATATGTCGATCTTCCCCAATAACTTTCCGTGTCGTGGCTCTCGCGTCGTCGTCGCGTACGGGTGATCCTCGCGTACTAGCGTCTCCCACGCATCTTTAAAGTTATTATTATTTCTTTGATTTAGTTATTATAAATAAGTTAATGACATTTTTTTCTTTCGGTTTTGTTAATTTCACTTAGGGTTAAGTATTGATGCGTGCCTGCTTCAATTAGTTACGGAATCCATATTGCTTTTTTTTTATATAATTTGGTTTGTGTAGCGTCTGTGCTCGTGGGAGTTTCCTCCCGCACTTTTACATAAAATTCTACGTTGACTATCGTATGGACGAGTAAAGGGTCCTTACCGTAATTCATTGATTAAAAATATAATTTTTTTTTTATTATAAAAATTTGCATAGTGTTGAGTTACGCTCATTGCAGCCTGTTCCCACACGCCTCCGCGCTTATCTGAGCTAGTCGTGGAACGCGTCTCAACGGTATGACCTTGTCCTTTGGCGGTTAAAAGGACTGGCGCCCCTTTTGGCATTTTGTCTCCTCTCGCTTATCCCCGTCGTTCACATTCCGGGTTGAGAGAGTCCAAAGGGTCGCTGAAAATTCGTGGAGAACCACGCGTCTGAATCCCGCAGATGCGCTTGGAAAATTACCTCACAGTATATAAATTATTTACCTATTTTTCGTGGGATTTTGTACTTTTCAGGCCGGATTTCTGCGAAACTTACTACACCGATGTGAACCCCGAAACTCAGTTTGTATGTATGTATGGTTTGATTAATTTGTGTAGAAGACATCAGAACGAATATTAAAAAAAAAAAATCAAAATCGGTACTCTAGTTTTTAAAATATGCGCAAAAAACGGTATAAAAACCAATCGTCTTTTCTCAAAAACTATTGGACCAATTCGACTCAAAGTTTGGCACAAAGTTAATCTGTATTAAGACTTATAAGACCTATAATCTGACAAAAGTTCAGATTTTTTGAAATTACCTTAGCAACTTAATTAGTCGATTTTGTAGAAATAGACCACTGGGAAAGTAGCGCTACGCGTGTTCACATACAGACTTGGCCGCCACACTTTCTATTTTTACGTTTAAAACCATTCTACATCATTTCAATCAAAATTCGAAAATGAGAAAATGAGGACAATTACAAGCTTCAATGGAGTTATCACTATTTGAATGGGAGAAAAATCGAAAAAGTATTACTTTGCTCACAGGGTGTATTGAATAATCCCTACAAAAGGAAGTTTGCCGTTTCACATGCAACATCGGAAAAATCGGCAATAGTATTGACGATGCTGAGGGTTTCGAGCGGGTTCAGTTCGCTCAAAATATTCCTCACACTTGTAACTTGTTAAAACAATGAACTGACGTATGGTTTTCATACCTCATTTTTACTCAGTTCTTCTTTCCCTCCTTCCCCCTTCTGAATCATAACATCGATTTCCGACAACGGCGGCCTGCCATCAACACTTTCTTCGATTTCTTCCGAATGAGTCCTCTCCATATCTAAAGCCAAATAATTGATCTCCTCTTCTCTCCCCCCATTATCAGACTCTTCTTTATTCTTATTAGCCCACCGTCCTCGCCTCCTACGCTTCTTCTTCCCCCAAGGTTTAGGTTTCTGCACAAGAATGCTCTCATATCCCTTCGGTTTCCCTCGTTTACCACTGGGAATCGCTACATACTTGCTCTTCGTCATTCGGTTACACTTATCAGGACAATCCAACTCCACCTCATGAGGCCCAAACAAATTCTGACAGACCATCAACTTCTTACAAATACTTTTACAGAAATCAGCGACCATCTCCCCTGATGTCACCACAGCAACATTCGCCCTGTATGTATTATTTTTGTGTTTAGCCTTGAGGACCTCTAGATGATACCCGGGATCAGGTTTTGTATCACACTGAAGAACTTTAAGAATCCTAGCACTCCTATACCCCACAGAAACGATCATAGAAAGAACTTCCCTCATAACTAGAATCACAGGACCAGGACCTACAGCTTTAGGAAGTGTGGCTAACTTTCCTTTTGATATCATCGGCCCCGTACAGCATCGATAATTAAAATAAATCTTTGGACACCAGAGAGACGATCTGGGTTCGGAAATTGGAATATCCAATAATGGTTTTATGTTCTCCTCCTTCTCCGGTTTTCCCAGTTTTTTGCAGACTTCCACATAATCTCGTGGAGGTTTTAGAGGATAATGATTGGACTCACACCAGCCTACAGGAAATATTTGAAGAGAGTGCATGTGAACAATGTGATCAACTCGACAGTCAAAATAATCCAAGGACAGAAATAAGAGATCCTCAATGATTTTCGCAATGTGAGCAGCACAGATGATGTTCTCGTTCCTTGGATCCACTGCTTCCAATCTCATTCCCTCCTCAAACCCCGCATCAACAGCTGATTGACGATGGGGGAAAAGGTCAGTATGGGCAGCTTCTGATTCGGTTTCTTTCAGGTACTTTTTCCAATCAAAATCTTCAGAATTTGATTTCCAGTTTTTTGGGGGTGAGAATTTGATATTGTGCCTCTTTGCCCAGTTGATGGGGAAGATGTAGGGGTGGGTGGAGGTACAGAGCCAAGTGGTTTTTTCGGCGCTCTCGTATTTTCTGGAATCTACGTTTGTGGCCTGGATGTTTTCCATGTTGTCGATTTGAACGAGGAAATATGTGTCGTCATAAACTTTCACTACTGTGGCTGGATATATGCGGGTCCTGTTAGTAGGGCAAAGAGCTTCCAGCTTTATCCCGAGAGTGAATTGATGAGTTGGGTAGGCGGGAGGCTCTAAGAAAATATTCGCGGGAGTTTGAAGCGTTTTTTGAGAGGATTCTATCACTTCTTTCCATTCTTCGTAAGGATGAGCGTCGACGATGGAGCTCGGGGGCTCTAGAAACCATTTGGGGCTGGATCTGGAGGTAAATCCGCAATGGTGGAGTGACTCTGAGGTACAAAATATCCAGAAGTCTTTGAAGTAACTACCGGGGGTGTCATAGCGTAGTAGAAGTCTTCCTCCAATGTTTTCAATAACCTTGGATAGAATAATTATTAGTTTAGGCATATAAGTGGTTCACTTAGTTGAAAATGGTGCAACGAGATGTGTACGTGTCTTCATTATGGCTGCTAATCATCATTAAATACATAACTCAACAATCTAGAGTTGAAATTAAATGGATGTAGAATTTTCATTAATTTAGGCATTATTCAGAGGAAGAGTCATGAGAATTGAAGGCAATATATCGCATGTCTAAGAGCAAAAGGTCGTAAACGCCAAAAAGCTACTTTCCGAATTTCTTAAAACCAGAAAGTCGTATCTCCACTCATTTTTTCTGCAATTCTGCGTGAAAATACTGGAGAAACTTATTATAATACTTACCTTTTTAGATTGATTATGAGCTGCATATACGACCTTTTGCCTTTAAATTTTGTCCTCAGAAGTCGAGACTAACCTAAAAGCAAAAGGTCGTAAAGACAAAGTTTGGGATTTTTTAATTTTCCTTTCCGTAGACAAGTTATACCTTCAATATTACAGTTGATCAGTCAGTGATAGTCACGAGAAGTTATCAGTGTCTTTGATTATGCTCCAATAATTATATCGACAACTTCATAATATAATTTGTGTGAACACCGCATCTCCATTTTTTATCCAGATTCGTATATTTCGGAACATGGTAAAAACTTTCTAAATGTTTGTATCTTCTGGACATTTTTTGTTCGCTAATCACTCCTTAAGATCGCTTCAGGTTCTCTTCAGGACCTGAAGCGATCTTTATTTTAAAGGATCCAACAGGGCAGTGATCGGAAGAATCCCGCGTACTCTCGAGGGTCAAATGGGAGAGGCAGTGGATTAGCTTTGGAAACTAGTTTCTCAATTTTCTCCAATTCTTAAACTTTATCCTTGGTGGGATAAAAAAACTAACAAACTTGGGGATTGTTTTTAAGAACAAATATTTTCTAAAACAAATTCTGAATTTTCCTTAATTTTAGAAGATTTTTAGATTGAATTTTTTTGGTTGTGAATTGAGAATACGGCCTTTTGCCGGAGAAGGCCATTTTTGGCATATACGACCTTTTGCTTTTAAACACGTGATATTATTAGAAATAATATTCATGTTAAGAGGTGCCTTCGAGATATATGTCTATAAACCTCTCAATTTCCGAAATATTGGATAATGAATAAACTTCGAACTAGTTTTTCACTCATCTTCTTCCACCATATCACAAGAACATTGAGGATAAAGTGATTAATAAACGTACTGTTGCCACCCAGAGCTTGTAGGGATGCTGAAAGTCACCGAGTTCAATCTTCATACCCTGTTTTATTTTCTCAGTCATGCTCAATCCTTCCTGAAAAAAATCAGAATATTTTTCACGTGCTCGATTAACTGATTGGAGAAAATACGCATCATATAAAAATGTCCAAAAATAAAGTTCTACAAAAATGTACATAATTTCCTAGTAGGTGAATGGTCAGGCCCAGTAGCTGAATATACGCATAAAAAATCATAACGTTGGATGAGAAAAACAACAATCCACTCTGAGCGTATCAATTTTATCCTCCTAAGCTGTAACGGCAACCCGTGCATGTGTTAAATTTTGAAATTGTCCTCGTGTTTAGAGTTAACAATTTTTGGAAACCAAAAAACGTCAATGCGTTATTATATTGCGCACTACCTGAAGCTTTTTGGTTTCTAAAAACTGATACCTATGAGCACGAGAACGATTCTGAAATTGAACACATGCAACGGGTACCGTTACCTCTTGATGGTGGAGAATTGAAATTTCAAATGAAATTTCAAAGTCTTCCGTTGATCAAAATAACTATTGAGGGACTTTCAATATAGCCATGGTGTTTGAAATCCTGCCTAAATTGTGCCTGCCTAATTATTCGGGTCAAGTCGTGATTCATCGAAAACAGCCGAAATATATCATTTTTGCTCGCCTTACGAGCAATCACATGACGGTGAAACTGGCCTCCCATTATCCAAGTTTGAAAATGGAAAATTTTGGGAGGGACTGTCCATCAAATGATCCGGAATTTGGAATTTTTTTAAAAATACAATACGTATCATGAAATTTTTTTGAAACATGCAAAAAATTTTCTCAAAATGAATAGTTCGCGATCTACTGTTTTTTATGGAGCTAAATGTATTTTTGGATGGACAGACGAGTTTAACCTCCCTTCATCCAGAATGTCCTTTTTGCTTCCCAATGGAAGCCTTGTAATCGATGATTTTTACGATCTCGTCATTTTGCTTGGAAATGATGTAGAATGTCATGAAACGTGAAAATGTGATATTTTTAGAAAATGTATGTATGTATGTTAGAATGTGTATGCCGATTTTCGGAAATTTTTTATAAATCCCCCTGAAAAAAGGACTAAAGTTTGAGCTAAAAATCTGAAATATTGTCGGACAATTGGTATTACTTTGGAGCATTTGTGGGTCCAAGTTCAGCTTAATCGGCCCACTAGTTTCCCAGATATAGCAATTTCTCAAAAATCTGTTTTCCTTAATATCTCATAAACTACGTGACCGAATTGAAGTTCTTTGACGAGAAAGTATTCTTTACGATGATATCTATCGAATCAAATCAAAATATTGCTACGTAACTAGGGTCAGTTTAGTAATAATCTGCATTTTCCATTTTTACTCGGAAATCGTTGTGGAAACGATAACTCGCCGAAAATTCAAGATAGGAAGTTAAAATTTGGTAGGATTGTAGCTCTTATGATAGTACAGAACTATGTTGTTTATGAGCTGAATCGGATAAGTAGTTTAGAAGATATTTCACTTTTTGTGAAAAACTATTATGCTTAATATCTCCTAAACTACTGGGCCGATTCACTTTTTTTTTCAAAATATTTGTTACGATATCTACTATCAAACTTAATCAAAATATGTATACCCGCCCATACAAAATTTTCGAGATATCAGCGTTTTTCTAATTTTTTCATTTTAAATTTAATGTGATGTCCATAATCAATGGCGTCAAGCTTGGTCCAGTCATCTGAGATTCTGGGTAGTAATTTGTATTATGAGCCCACAGTTATGTACAAAATTTTGTGTCAATCGATTCAGTACATCCGGGCATAGAGCAATTTATCCGAAAATCTTGNGTCCTTTTTGCTTCCCAATGGAAGCCTTGTAATCGATGATTTTTACGATCTCGTCATTTTGCTTGGAAATGATGTAGAATGTCATGAAACGTGAAAATGTGATATTTTTAGAAAATGTATGTATGTATGTTAGAATGTGTATGCCGATTTTCGGAAATTTTTTATAAATCCCCCTGAAAAAAGGACTAAAGTTTGAGCTAAAAATCTGAAATATTGTCGGACAATTGGTATTACTTTGGAGCATTTGTGGGTCCAAGTTCAGCTTAATCGGCCCACTAGTTTCCCAGATATAGCAATTTCTCAAAAATCTGTTTTCCTTAATATCTCATAAACTACGTGACCGAATTGAAGTTCTTTGACGAGAAAGTATTCTTTACGATGATATCTATCGAATCAAATCAAAATATTGCTACGTAACTAGGGTCAGTTTAGTAATAATCTGCATTTTCCATTTTTACTCGGAAATCGTTGTGGAAACGATAACTCGCCGAAAATTCAAGATAGGAAGTTAAAATTTGGTAGGATTGTAGCTCTTATGATAGTACAGAACTATGTTGTTTATGAGCTGAATCGGATAAGTAGTTTAGAAGATATTTCACTTTTTGTGAAAAACTATTATGCTTAATATCTCCTAAACTACTGGGCCGATTCACTTTTTTTTTCAAAATATTTGTTACGATATCTACTATCAAACTTAATCAAAATATGTATACCCGCCCATACAAAATTTTCGAGATATCAGCGTTTTTCTAATTTTTTCATTTTAAATTTAATGTGATGTCCATAATCAATGGCGTCAAGCTTGGTCCAGTCATCTGAGATTCTGGGTAGTAATTTGTATTATGAGCCCACAGTTATGTACAAAATTTTGTGTCAATCGATTCAGTACATCCGGGCATAGAGCAATTTATCAAAAAAAATTTTTTTTTTAAAATTACACATCGTCATTTTATCAATGATTTTCATCTCTATATGACTTAAAAAGTCATAACAAGAATTTATGGTTTTTTGTATTTGATGAAATGTCATATCTATGACCGAAGTAGGAGTTAAAATTTGGTAAAATTGTAGCTCTTATGACATTACAGGATGAAACTGTATAGCTCTGACAGAATCAGAGGTCGGTGTGGTTTATTCCCCTTATCAATATGAATAGCTTTTTGAGTAGTTATCATCTGTGAAATTGTACGGATCCATTCGGAAGCTTATTGCCAATGGAATTGGTAGAAAAAAAAAGTAAATGTCACATGGCTTCTGCCAAAAAGGCTTACAACCCTGCTTGTTTTATTATCGGGGAAATTGTTGAAAAAAACTACAACTTTTTTTATATATTCTCTAAACATCTCCCCATCGATTTCCACCCCAATAAGCAACGATCTAATTGTTCAACGATCAGAAGAAAAAAGAATGGTCTCGTTGAAAATGTACGTTATCGTAGGCTCGAAAAATTCAATACTTTTGGGGGTCGGAGATTTTTAAAAAATCCCAAATTTTATCTACATACGCTTTAAACATCCCCCTATAGATTTATACCCCTATGAGCAACGATCTTCGTGATGCAATGATTATTTAGAAGGAATAGTAGAGTGTTTGTAATTAAAAGAAGATAGAATTTATTCAATTAAAAACGTATCAACACCTGCACTTTCATGTTACGAATGACGATCAAACGAACATCAGAAGTGTTACGTACGAACATTTGAAATTCGATCGTTTTCCTTTCGCATACTTATCTATTTCCAATAGATCTAATTTTTCAACGATCCAAAGAAAAAAAAATGGTCTCATAGACAACATTCGTTTTTGGAGGGTCGAAAAAATCAATGTTTTTGGGGGTGGTAAATTTTTAAACAATCTCAAACTTTTTCTACATACTGTCCAAACGGGTTGCGGTCACAACACCTAGATTTGGAATATCGAGTACACTAACTATTAAAATTTAATTCCCTAGAAAACGGTATGGTCTTCATTGCAGTCAAGGTTAATCGGACAATACAAGGAAAAAAAGGCTGAGTAGTGACTCAATCATTGAATTAATGATAAAATACAAATTTCTGAAAAAGAGTTAGATCCTTGCATGCATAGAATTATGTTCATCCTGTTATATAGAAGAAAATTATTATATTTATAATCCCAATGTGATGCCATATTTACTATACTGAAAAATTTTCCAATAAAGTCGTCTTCCTAACAAGAACTAATTATTCATTCGTCTTCTATGTGTGCTTTATCATGATAAATATAATTAACGTGGCCATTGAGAAAATTTCTCGATCATCTTGAAAATTCGTCGGGGAAAAGAAATGTTACGAAAGCTGATACGAAGGAAAGAATACAACTAATACTATTCCATACCGTACTTGCACTGTCCTCAAAATGTAGATGAGAATATGCTACGTGATAAATTTTATCTTACGATGATATGACATTAAATCTAAACAGCAAATTGAATAAGCAAATATTGACATGATAAAATGGGTAAATTCAGATATGGGACTAGGTATGTAATGCGTGATGTAAATCAGATATCAATATTAAATTACTGAAACTGAGATTGCAATAGATCAGTAATAACATCGATATTTTTTTGGTTGTTTGAAAAAATACCATAATCTTATGTGAATTCAATTTGCGACTGCAGCATTTCCATTTTAGAACATTTGTTTAGGACATTAGAACAGCTGTGTACATTTTTGTATGGATTATTTATTGATGTTTGTTATCCGCAACTACGCTTGATTATATCAAGTTAATTTAGTGGATGTTATTAGATTGAAATCCATGAGAAACACATGAAAAGACTGAGAAGATGACTATACGGGTTCCCGCGAAAACTGTTCAAAAAATGTTATGCCGAAATTCCATTTGACCGACTTGTGTGGGTAATGCAGGGAACTACGGTCGATAATACAAAAAACTTTGCGTAGGTGTCTTACCAGAAGAGTCATTCCTCATGGAATATTTAAATATTGAAGAAAACAACATTATATTGAAATTCTATCGAATATTTTAATATTCGATATTCGTGAGAAATTTAATTGGGTAATTCGTTGCTTTTCTGTGTATTTTTTCGAATAGAAATGTTCACAAAAAATATTTTATATATGAAGTATCAAAATCATTCAATTGAAATACAATTACAATTACAGTTAAAATTGAAATATTTTCCATTCCTCAAGCGAAATTTTCGAGATTTTTTGCTTGTTCATTTCGACAGGAGAAAAATGAA